CATGTTTATATTTTCTCTCGTACGTCAGTCGTATGCGATCTTTGGTAGAAAGTGGATGCGGTTCTTTTATGATAAAATTAAAATTTGTCATGGATAATAAAAACGATATCTTAAGATATCGTTATCTTCAAATAATGGGTACAATAATTATTGTAACTATTATTGGAAGAAATCGAAAAAGAGGAGGCAACTGAACGATGACGAAAAAAAAATTGCAAAGAACTGAAGAGGGATTTTTTAACACATTGATAAATAAACATTTATTAAAAGAAAAGAAAAAATTTCGAGAATTTTTTAGACTCAACATTGCTCAATTTAATAATATTTTAGATATAATAAAAGAAGATATAAGAAAAAAAATCGACAAATAAATATCCCTATCCTATAACGTACAAAACGCTGGACCTTCTGCTGCGGCTGCGTCTAGACTGCTTTCGAAGAGGTACTGACGCAACCACTGGTCCTGCTCTGCGTCAGACGCTCGGAACGCATAGCGGCAGACACACAAAAGGAACCATTACATTTAATTTTCATTGTGGCAGGGACTTGCGTCAGACGCAGAGCGTCAGCCGCATGCGTCCGCCGTTTCAAAGGAACCGTACCTTTAAACAGCCCAATCATATATATTATTTAAAATGACAAATAAACACTTATTTTAAATGTTAAATAAATATGAATTACCAAATAAATATAATAGTTATAATATACATACATACAGGGTTGGGCAAAAGTATGAAATAATGGAAATAATTTTTTCCTGGTCAGGTCTTGCTAAAAACGCTCGGACACGTCAAATTTAGTTTTTTCCAAGAATTTTTTTGTCATTTTTTTCATATTTATACTTTTCCCTTTTTACAGAATGACGTAACTGTCAATTTATTTAAATGGCATCCCCCAATTTTTTTTACCGAAATGGATAGACTATTAAATTCTGGTTATAAAAATATGCATATTAAGTCTGATTGGACTATATATATATATATATATATATATATTAGGGTGGTCCTTAGCTATAGAGGTAAAAGATATACTTTTAATATTGAATTGTCCCACCCCCCCCATTTTTAAATATTTTACTCATTAAAATCTTTTCGTCTATTAAAGGTCTATAAAAATTGTCTCTTGAGATTTTATCCTAGAAAGCACCATTTCCTACACAAACCTTAAATTTGTGGTAATTATGCACAAATGCAATTTTCCACGAAATGGTGCTTTCTAGGATAAAATCTTAAGAGACAATTTTTATAGACCTTTAATAGACGAAAAGATTTTAATGAGTAAAATTGTTTAAGATATGCGATTTTTGCGGAGTAAATGGCAAAAACCTTAAAAGTTGGGGATTTTGTCAAAATTCAACCCCTCACAGGCACGTGAAGGGGTTGACTTGGCCATTCAAATTTTTGTGTAATTTTTTTTCTCTTGTGTTATAACAAAATGGGGGGGGTGGGACAATTCAATATTAAAAGTATATCTTTTACCTCTATAGCTAAGGACCACCCTAATATATATATATATATATATATAGTTTCTAAAATAATAACTTTTTCAGTTGGAAAAATAGGACAAGTAATTTTATTTTAATTTTACAAAAAAGTCCTTAGAAAAAAACTAAATTTGATATGTCTTAGCGTTTTTTGCAGGACCTGACCAAAAAAAATTATTTCCATTATTCCATACTTTTGCCCAACCCTGTATATAGAAAAAATGCCACTAATTTGCTAATTTAACAGACTTTGTAGCTCCAATAATAATGGTCGTTGGTTAAATTAGAAAATTAGTGGCATTTTTTCTTCTGATTAAAAAAAAATAAAAAAAAAATGTTAAAATAGTCCTTGGAAAAAACTAAATTTGACATGTCTTAGCGTTTTTTGCAGGACCTGACCAAAAAAAATTATTTCCATTATTCCATACTTTTGACCAACCCTGTATATAGAAAAAATGCCACTAATTTGCTAATTTAACAGACTTTGTAGCTCCAATAATAATGGTCGTTGGTTAAATTAGCAAATTAGTGGCATTTTTCTTCTGATTAAAATGGTTAAAACAGAAAAAACAATTGAACTTGGGGTTTCCGAAGTAATTACAAAAATAACATTTTTTTAAATGGGACACCCTGTATATTTTTACATATTTTGAAAGACAACCTAATATGGAACAAAAAATTATTATAGCATTACTACCTTAAACTTAAACATAGGTACACTATTAATAAGCACTGGAACTTTCTGATGGTTGTTGAAATATCCAAATTATAACAACCAGTCAAGCAAACTAGTTTCATTTAAGCTTTAACTTGAGGAGAACACTATAATATAATACACACACGTTATGGAGAACACGATATCGAGATTCACGCCACAGAAAAAGAATTTCTTCTAATAAAAGGCACCAAAGAACACCATAATTTGTGAAAACGACGCTATACGCCATTTTAGCTTTCTCTACACCACTCCAGTGTTACCACTATAACGTGTGGCGGCATATTTAAAATGAGTTACCGATTGCGTTTGTAATTAAATTTTTAAGGTTAACTGACGCTTACTACCTTATTTATTATTTAGAAAACTAAACTAAACTATGTTAAAACATATTTTGAAAGACAACCTAATATGGAACAAAAAATTATTATAGCATTAATACCTTAAACTTAAACATACCTACACTATTAATAAGCACTGGAACTTTCTGATGGTTGTTGAAATATCCAAATTATAACAACCAGTCAAGCAAACTAGTTTCATTTAAGCTTTAACTTGAGGAGAACACTATAATATAATACACACACGTTATGGAGAACACGATATCGAGATTCACGCCACAGAAAAATAATTTCTTCTAACAAAAGGCACCAAAGAACACCATAATCTGTGAAAAGGACGCTATACGCTATCTTAGCTTTCTCTACACCACTCCAGTGTTACCACCATAACGTGTGGCGGCATATTTAAAATGAGTTACAGATTGCGTTTGTAATTAAATTTTTAAGGTTAACTAACGCGTACTACCTTATTTATTATTTAGAAAACTCTAATTATGTTAATACCTTACAAATATATATATATATATATATACAGGGTGGTCCAGGATTAATCTGAAAAATTTTAATGATCGATAGAGCCTGAAAAAACAATAAAAACAAACCCAAAAACATTTTTCAAAAATGCATACTAACGGAGATATAGTCCTTCAAAATAATTTTTAAACCATCAAACCGATTCTTCTTAAATTTTGTGTAGGTTAAGCTTCCGTCGATAATATAATGAAAATTTCCTACAAAAGGCCCAGTGGCGGAGATTTTGAAAGGGGTTTCCCATTTTTACCCTCATATTTTCGACGCCACTGGATTTTATTAGAAAATCATCAGATTTATTTTTATCCTTTTTCAATCTAAAAGCAAAACTTTTATGTTTATTTTTTATCAGATATTTCAGTTTAAAATTTCAAAAACACTGTGTACCCGGAACTTTTGTTATTATTTTAGTAATAAAAAATTATTTTTTTTCTGAACGATTGTATTGGGCCAATAAAAATTTACCAATGAAATAATGGAATAATCGCTTTCAATAGGGTGGTTTTTGGGTTGGTTTGATTTTGTATTATAATACAATTAAATTATTAATTACAGACGTTGATTGTAATCCTCAATCAACGTTACAATAAAACAACCTAAAAATATGACGGGTTCAGTAACAACTGCACGATGACTCCTGGACGCTAGTTTATTTTTAAAATATTTTATAAACTGATAACGTTGCATAATTGTTACCAAGTTACCGATTTAAAATAAAATATGATAAAATTCCGTGTACTCGGTGTTTTTGAAATTTTAAAGTCTCCGAAACCACTAATCTTATGAAAATTTAACACACAAGTTTTGCTTCTAAATTGAATAAGAAATCTGATTATTTTCCAATAAAATCCAGAGGTGTCAAAATATGGAGGTAAAAAGGGGAAACCCCCCCAAAATCTCCGCCGCTGGGCCCTTTGTAAGAAATTTTACTTACACAAAATTTGAGCAGAAGTTATTAAAAAAAAAAAACGTTTTTTTTGCCTTTGAAGGGCTATTAGTGTGTTGGTGTGTATTTTAAAAAAATGTTTTTGGGTTTGTTTTTATTGTTTTTTCAGGCTCTATCGATCATTAAAATTTTTCAGATTAATCCTGGACCACCCTGTATATATATATATATATATATATATATATATATTTAATGTATATATAAAAATGTAATATTGTTTTTCTACTCCCAGCTTTAAAACGCCCATTATCGTACATGTTTCCATGATCTTTTAAATACACATTGACAAGCTGTTACTTTATGGCGTTATAATCACGGGCTGAAGTTGTCAGCAATGGCTTTCGGAATTTTTAGTCACGGGCGAACTGCGAAACAATGACCATCAAAATAAAGCATCTAAAAAGTGAAATTAGAATAGACTGGTCGATGTCAGATTTTATAAATAATTATTTATGTAAAGAAAATATATTTCTTTAATTTGTATTGACAGTGACAGTCTTGTCAAGTTAATAAAAACTGTCTCACAAAAAGTGATTAATATTTAATTAATAAAATTTGTGAAAAGGAATTGATAAATTAGAGAATAAACTTTAATTGTCGTTTCTTTATTTCTAGGTAAGAATTTATATGTAATTAACTTTAAATTAGACTAAATAAAAATCTTTATTTCTAGAGCAACACAAGATTGTTTATTTATTACGTCAATTCCTATAATACTAAAATTGATCTTATAAAACGACAATTTTAGTCAAGCAATATAAAATGGAGAAACTTTTTTTTGAATTTACGTTACTACCAGGAAGTGATGGAAAATCAAATGTATATGCGGTAACCTCAATTGCTACAAGTGATAACAAAGTATATGCAGTGCCAGATGAACTTAAAGCAGCTGGGCATCACAAGGAAATAATAAAAACAACGGCTTATAATAAAGTAAAAAATAGTTTGAAGAAAAGATACCAATTCAGAAGAGTATGGATAACAATGACAGAAGAACTAAAAAGAATCTATTTTGATGAGGATGGCAATATACAATTTGGAGACCAATTTCTAGAAGAAATAGATCAAGAACAACAAAAGAAAGAGATGGGTACATTGGAAAGACTAGTCGAAAAATTAATTGAAAATACACAAACAAATGGACAACCAAGTTTGAAAAATATAGCAGACAAATTTGTGATTGATAAATTTACAAGTAAAAATTCCAATGCTAATCAATGGATAGATATTTTTGAAAAAGAATGCACTCGTTTTAATGTTGAATCAAATGAGAAAAAAATCGAAATACTTAGATTATTTATGGATAAACCCTGTGGAGATTGGTATAGTTCAATGATTATAAAATTAACAATAAACTCAGAATGGTCGGAATGGAAAAATAAATTTTGTGAAACATTTGCAAATAAAGGATGGAATCCTGTAACTTACGCTATAAATTATAAATACAAGGAGGGTGCACTATTGGATTATGCAATGAAAAAAGAAAAACTTGTATTGGACATGAGAAGATCAATTGACACAGGTACTTTGATTGATCTTATTGCCGCTGGCTTACCAGAATTCATTTTGAATAAAATCGATAGAGAAACATTGAAAGATACCGTAGATTTATTTAATGAAATCAGTAAATATGAATATACAATAAATAAAAAAAATGCTTGGATTAAGAAAAGGAATGTAAATTTTCAAAATAAAAGTAAACAGGAAGATTATAAACCCTGTAAAATATGTGACAAATTGGGTAAAGGTGCTCGATATCATCCTGAAGCTACATGCTGGTTCAGAATAAAAGAGGACGATAAAGTTCAAAAAAACTTTATAAAACATGTAAACAATTCGGTAATTGAAGCTGAGTTAAATGAAACAGATAAAAAAAACGAGTAAGTACACCATTAATTAAAGTCAAACTACAAATAAATAATAAGTTGGAAATATTTGGAATTTATGACTCTGGTTCAAATGTCTCTTTAATAAATTCTAAATTATTAAAAATAAAAGAAGAAAATAAATTAAACAAAGCAAATCTGATAACAATTAATGGTGTTAAAAAAACGAATGGTTTGACAACTTTAAAAATAAAAATATTTGAAATGGAAAAAAATGTAGATGTTTATATTATTGATGGAGAAAACTTCAATTATGATTTTTTAATAGGATTAGATATGATAAATATGTTCAAACTAATCCAAGATGAGAATTTAAAAATAACTCAGAAAAAAAACTTTAATAATATGGATAATAAAATAGAAGATATTTTTATAATTGAAAATAATAAAGATGAAGTAGGAACAAATTCTTCTCATAACAATTATAAGAATAAATTGGAAAATTTCATAAATAATAATGAAAAAAAAAAACAAACGGATTTTGATTTTGAAATTATAAATAACAATGAAAATTTAAAAAAATATCAAGTAAACTTCAATGAACATGTTGAAGAAGAAAATTTTGATATAAAAACAAGTCACTTGGATCAGTATCAGAAGTCTGAAATAGAAAAACTGATCCACAAATATAAAAAAATATTTGCCAAAGATAAATATGATATAGGAACAGTAAATGACTATGAAGCAAGGATAGATTTATTGGTGGATAAATATTGCTGCAAAAGACCTTATAAATGTACTATAGAAGATAAAAAAGAAATAGAAAACCAAATATCAAAATTATTAGAAAATAAATTAATAGAAGAATCGTATAGTCCTTTTGCTGCACCGGTAACTTTAGCATTTAAAAGAGAAGAGAATAAAAAGTCCCGATTATGTATAGATTTTAGGGACCTAAACAAAATAGTGATACCTCAAGCCCAACCCTTTCCTTTAATTGAAGACTTAATGGTGAAAACAAGAAATTGTAAATACTTTTCGGCGTTAGATATAAATTCTGCTTTTTGGTCAATCCCACTCAGAATTGAAGATAGGAATAAAACAGGATTTGTGACACAAGAGGGCCATTTCCAATGGACTTGTCTACCATTTGGACTAAAGACGTCGCCAGCGATATTTCAAAGGATTTTAAGCAATATATTAAGAAAATACAAACTCACTGATTTTACTGTTAATTACATAGATGATATACTTATATTTTCTAAAACTTTCTCTGACCACATCAATTATCTGACTCAATTATTGGAAGCAATAATGAAAGAAGGTTTTAGACTAAAATTTACAAAATGTACATTTGCAGTAGAAATGGTAAAGTATTTAGGGCACATAATACAGGATAATACAATAAAACCAATAAAAGATAATCTAAAATCAATTATAGATTTTCCTACACCCAAAACACAGAAAAATATAAGGCAATTTCTAGGAAAAATTAATTTTTATCATGAATATATACCAAAAAGTGCAATAATCTTAGACCCGCTTCATAATTTATTACGAAAAAATCAAAAATTTATTTGGTCCGAGGATTGTAAAAAAGCATTTGAAAAAATAAAAGAACTGCTATGCTCACAACCGGTTCTAGAAATCTTTGATCAAAATTTGCCAATTAATATTTATACAGATGCATCATTGGAAGGTGTTGGTGCGATTTTAAAACAAACGCAACCTAATGGAAAAGAAAAACCAGTAGCATACTTCTCAAAAAAATTAAATGAAGTACAAAAAAGGAAAAAAGCAATATACTTAGAATGTTTGGCTATAAAAGAAGCAATAAGGTACTGGCAATACTGGTTAATAGGTAAATCTTTCACTGTTTATACGGATCATAAACCGTTAGAAAATATGAATATCAAATCTAGAACCGATGAAGAGCTGGGAGATCTAACTTATTACCTATCTCAATATGAATTTAAAATAAAATATTATCCAGGAAAATACAACATAGAAGCAGACTGCCTCAGTAGAAATCCAGTATTGGAATCGAACGAAAACTCAGAAGAACAGCTTAAGGTGGTAAATTTGATTAAGATGGAGGATATTGTGACTGATCAAAATGGAAATATGGAAATTCAGGAAAGGAAAAACAAATTCATTGAAAAACAGAACATTTTTTTTAAAAAGGTCAGGAAAAAAGAAAAAATAATTTTAACAGAGGAATTTAGTATTAGACTGATACGAAATGTACATGAAAATTTATGCCATATTGGAATAAACCAGATGCAACAGATGATTAGTCCATTTTATACAGCAAAAAAATTAATAAAAAATATAAAAAATATATGCAGAAGATGTGAAATCTGCTTAAAAAATAAATCGAGAGGTCAAGATAGATTTGGTTTGATGTCTCACCTTGGACCAGCCACAAAGCCTTTTGAAATAATTTCCATAGATACAATTGGAGGTTTTGGGGGTTCAAGGTCAACAAAAAAATACAGATGCAAAATAAATGAAAGATGCAAAATAAATGAAAATGAAAAAAAAAGGCTTGGACGACGGTCGCACAAGAATGTGTCAACAAATACAATGAAACACCACACTCAGTCACAGGTTTTGCTCCAAAATACTTATTATACGGCACAGATGTGACGATCTTACCGAGTGAAATAAAACAAGAAAAACCTAAAAGTAATTGGGAAGAAGACAAGAAAATAGCATTTGAAAAAACAATAAAATCACACAATTACAACAAATTATTATTCGATAAGAATAGAAAAAGTATTAAATTCAAGGTAGGAGATTTGGTATATGTGGAAAACGGGAACAAGCTGAATAGGAAAAAATTGGACGAATTGAGAATTGGACCGTATGAGATAGTTGGAAAAATTACAGACTCAATTTACAAAATAAATACAGGGCACAGAGAATCAGCATTAAATCTTTTTCACAGTACAAAACTAATCCCAATCCCTGCAATAAAAGAATATAAAACAGAAGATGAAGATGGAACAGATGAGAAAACAGAAAAAAATGTTATATAAAGTGTTAAACGAAAATTTATGTTAAATTTTCTTCCCCGAGGGGGGGTGATGTAAAGAAAATATATTTCTTTAATTTGTATTGACAGTGACAGTCTTGTCAAGTTAATAAAAACTGTCTCACAAAAAGTGATTAATATTTAATTAATAAAATTTGTGAAAAGGAATTGATAAATTAGAGAATAAACTTTAATTGTCGTTTCTTTATTTCTAGGTAAGAATTTATATGTAATTAACTTTAAATTAGACTAAATAAAAATCTTTATTTCTAGAGCAACACAAGATTGTTTATTTATTACGTCAATTCCTATAATACTAAAATTGATCTTATATTTATATATAATTGTTGAAAATTATTTAATTTTTCTGATCGTCGTAGAAAAAATATAGTATGCAAGTCGTTTATAAACTTGAAAAAATTAATGTAATATAATATTATCATAATTATATTGATTTCCATTTTTAAGATGTGCCTATGCAAAATAAGTTATGTAAAAAAATGTATATTAATTATTAGGATAAAATATTCTTATATAAAAATGTGCATACAAAATAAATAAAAATTATAACATGTTTACCAAAACCTAACGGGACATTCTGATGATGTCTCTGGGATTAGTCCTATGACTAGCTTATTTTAGGCTTTAATTAGGATATTATTAGGTCCTAACGACATCCTTAAATGACGTTCCTAGGATATTACAAAATGGGACCTAAAAAAGATCTAATGTCCGATAAGGTCAACCTAAGGACGTCCTCCGGAAGTCCTTATGGGATCATCCCATTCTGGGACATTTAGGCTGGTCCAAGGACGTCCTGAGGATGTTTGTGCTTGCTGGGATGTTGCTGCTGAACTTCTATTGGAAACACAGTAGTTAATTCATTTATTTTATTCAAGAAACTTAACCCGAATAAAAAGATTACCAAATTCAGAAAAGAACTAGTAGACTACTACTAGTTATTTCTGGGGTTAAATGAAAATAAGGAATAGGGACCAGTAGAAAAAAGAAACAGCAACACTTCTTACAGGATACATCGGAAAGGGACAACACGAACAGAAATATCAGAGAGAGACGCACATATTGCTATGATAAAGTAACATAACAAAGTGGAGGTAAATTAGCATCAAACTTAAGTAAAAAAGTTACAACATTTTGTTTAATGTTTGAAGATAAACCATTTATCTGTGCAAAGTTTTTTAACATCCATGCAAAAACGTCAATCGACGTAAAATAAAAACGTTTTTTTATATTTATTTTTAAGAATAGTAAGTTTTTTTTAAATTATATTTTTATTTTATAATTTGCAATTTTGTAATAAAGTACCTATAAAATTTATTACACTAGTATTATTACTTAAAACAACGACTTTCTGTCGCAGCTGCATCAATCGAGATTATCTAAGAATTCCCTATCTATTTTACTGATACTACTACTAAAAATAAAGACTTTTTGTCTTAACTGCGCCAATCGAAATTATCCAAGTATTCACTGGAACCCCAACAATAGCCCAAGTATATCAGATTTTATTAATTTCAGTTTACCGGCGGCCAAACTGTGACTTTGCATCACTCTGTCAGTTGGTCGCCGGTGACGAACATTTTAAGATGCAGTTAAGTTTCAAACTACCTCGGAAACCCATTGTCAGTGATGTAACCGATACATTTTTTTCAGTATCTAGGTACCGATACAGATACTCTCTGGTAGATGTATCTGGGTACAGATACCGATACATTTTCCCAAAAGTATCTGGGTACAGATACAGATACATTCAAAAAGTATCTAATTTACTTCCAGATACTATGTTAAAAAAACTTAAAAATTAAATGACAAAAAAATTTCAGTTTACCGGCGGCCAAACTGTGACTTTGCATCACTCTGTCAGTTGGTCGCCGGTGACGAACATTTTAAGATGCAGTTTAGTTTCAAACTACCTCGGAAACCCATTGTATACATTTTATCTAACACAAAGTCAGGATTAACGACATCAAAGTCAAAAAATAGTCTCATGACCAATCTTT